TTGTTCTTTTTGGGTTTGAATAGCTTTGTGCATAGTGAGAGGGGTGTAGTACAAGAATAGTACTTTGGGTAATTGGGGGAAAATTAATAAAATAGTTTGAGTGGCGATCACATTATCTCTTAAAATGTCTCTCTTACTCTGTTTGTTCGTAGGTTAGGGAAAAAGGCTGGCATAAAGGGGCTCCTGCAGCTGTTTATTTAGACTGTTGCTATACATCCGCCATCATTTTCTCATTCACTTGCAGTGAGGATATATGATAAATTCAGTGCTAAGATTCTTGCCTGCAAAGAGAACAACAAATGAAGCAAAACTTAGAATTCATTGAACAAGTCAGGCTCATAGTGCCGACAAAAGAAAAGAAACATAATTGCAGCTATGTAAATTTCTTCTGTTACAGCAATTATCTACATCACCGGATGAAAATTCTCACTGCAAGAATCACTCAATCTAGAAACCACACATGCACAAGACCATCATTCATGCACCAAAAAGTTATTGGAAAAGAGTTACTAGCAGATCCAGGACATACAAGGGATGACGGACTAATTCAAAGAAAGAGTAAACATGTGTAAGAAATAATAATAATAATTGATGACTGGAGCTACAGCCTCAAAAACCATTAAACATATGTTAGGAAGGTGATTACTCAAGTTGTTCGGTTTTGGCCTCTACAATGAAATTAGATCCAATCATCAAAACTAGCAACCAGCAACCCAATGCATCGGAAACAGAGATATTGTATATAAATTTGGCAAAGCATTTTAATAAAGAATATCTAAGTAACATGCTTTAAAGAACTACTTTAACAGCCATACAAATAAAAACCTATCCAGGGGAATCAATCAAATTATCTACTACCGATCAGTTTTGGCATCACAAGTGAACGCGACAACTCATTAATCTAGCACTCAATAAAAAGTTAAACATTGATCAACAATAGATTTACTTTCAACCAAACTCTGATCATTTAATATGATCAAGCCCTCAAGAGTAACTTCAAGACATGCCAGGGAATTTTAAAAATAAAAAATATAAAACTCAAAGAACTACATAGGCTTCCTTTATGAATGTCATCCAATTCTTTAGTACATGAAAGGGAATCCCCATTTAACCGAACCTAATTATAAACAGGCAACCTCAGGAAATTGCCATACCATGTAACTAGCAATCAAGCAAAACTACTTAGCGCAACCTAGCAAATCAAATATAAAAAATGTGGTCTTAATTCTTGGCTGAAGGACTACAAACAACACTTTGGATTGCATTGCAAGGACTCTTTAATCATCAAGAATTATGATACAATGTTATTTCCAACCCTCATTTTAAGGAATATGATTCATGATGCTAACAGAAAAAAAAGACAGTAACTTTCTTCTAAAGAAAAAGACAATTCTTATAAGGGAATAGACAAAAACTTTATTATAAGAAAAAATGAATTGTAATACCATAAAAATTGATAGAAACCCACAATAACATTCAATTATATGTCTTACAAACTTGAGGGTGGCATAAAAATAGAGTTTTTCACCACATAAAAATGATAAACAAAAAAAAAACTAAATAAATTAGATTGACCAAAAGACACCCGAAACAAATTAAGTCTATACCGAATTTCCCAACACGGTTGGGACAATTCAAATTGAGGGCGGCATATGGTTATGTGAAGGATCAAGGATGTAATGCGGTCCAAAGCTTCCGTTCTCTATGTTGAAGATACCCATGTCGCAGCGCCCTGAAGGATGGAAATGAAAGTCAATAAAATCATCTGTATAGTATATAGAATTCGGTTGGCATCCGGGCCATTTGGAAGCTGAAACACAAATGGAATGGCTATCTCCCAAAAACAGGGTGTCCCGACCAAATTCTTCACTTCAACCAGCATATGTGAACCTTGCTCAAATTGCTCTAAGAGCGACTTGAAAACCTTAAACCCTGAAGTTGCATGATGTGAATCATCTCCAAGTTTTAAAAACCTTTGTACAAGAAGAAAATCCCCACTTGATGATTCGACAAGATACAAATGTTCAGAATACAAAATATTCTGCAGTACAATTACCTCCACTTGTGGAGCCTTACTCTCCCCAGCCCTTCTATTAACATCAATCATTAGGACTCTACCAATAACAACTGCAAAAATCCGGCCTTTATAATATATGACATCAAAGATGGGCTTAAATCTCTTTTTATCTATGCAAGTCCAAGCTTTATCGCCTGCTCAAATAAATACCATGTTATTGCAACCACCGTAGGTGGCAGCAACAATATAGTCATTAGGAGACGAAGCAGGGTCAGCTGACAATATAGCCTTTGTAACTTCAAACTCAACCTCAGTAGGAGTTGATTCAGTTTCGTATCAGAGACCATCATCATTGACGTTTTGACGAGGATGTTCTAATTCAGTGCGGTCCATAATTGGAGGAAGCTCAATGGTAGTGCTAAAGTACGGATTCATTAGAAGGATTCTTGCATAGTAAACAGCTAACCGTGTGGGGAACCAGAAAACCTCTTTTTGTAAGGTACCCCTAACTGAAAATCATATAGCTTATTATGAGTGATGCTGTATAGACTACGTCTTTTGTCGCTATTATCTTTTGAAGGCACCGTCAAGAATGAAACTTGCCTGAAAAACTTATTTTGAATGAATTTAAATTTTTTCTCCATTGCCACAGACTGCCATGGTTTGCAAACCGCACCAAATCGAACAAATTCAGAAAGCGAAACCAACTTGTCCAGAATCATATCCAATAACTTCTTTGAAAGCCATGCCCAATCTGACTCCTCCATTGAACACATTAATTTCCCTAATACAACTGCAATGTCAACAAATCAAAGAATCTAAATAATCACAATAACTTACATTATATCTACAATAATCAAATAATTGGCAAAAAATCAAACAGGATTTATAATTTTAATAACTTGCATTATATCTACAATACTCAAATAATCACCATAACTTACATTTTATCTACAATACTCAAATAATTGGCAAAAATTCAAACAGGATTTATAATTTTAAACTAAATAATCACAAAAACAACAACAAAAACAAAAACAAAAACAAAAAAAAAAAACAAAAACTTAACAAACTTAGGATATAGTATGAATAAGTTAGTGGTGTAATGCCTCTTTCATCATAACAAACTCGTTACTAACAAATCTGAAAAAACTAATCTTTCAATATTAAAATCTGATTGAGCCACAACCAAATTCTAGTCACATCCCGTCCCAACCCATAAAAACAATATCAATAATTCAGAGAGTGTCTTTCTAATCTTTCCTTAAATAGAAAGACACTCTCTGAAGTCTGAACAACGTACGACGGCTTAGATTTAGGGATTAAGGATGATGTATAATCTCCAAACACTTCAATACCCAAACAAAAACAAAAACAAAAAAGCATTTTCAAAGTTAGGCTTAATTTAACCAAAATAAATAAATAAATAAATATAAAAAATATAAGGAAAATAGTGTTTCTTGATTGATCCAAACACGGAAGTTCTATATAGTGAAGTCATTAAACATAAACAAAATTCATATAAAATTCGAGATTTGAAACGAAGATTGGACCTGAGTGAAGGCTTTGGAGTAAAGATTGTTGGAATGGGCATTGATTCCAACTATGCTCCACATGTTCGACGATTTGCTCAACAGAACGACAATATTTATAATCAAAACGATCGAAATGAACATAGAGATCTTTTTGTAACTAAAACGAGAAGAAGACGACGAAGAGGCCATGGAAGGAAGGGGCTTAGGGTTCAATTGCTTGTTTGGTCTCTTCTAACCGATCGGCCCGCCATGGACGACTGTGTGAGTTTGAGGAGAGAGATGAAGGGCAAGGTGGGGGTGCGTATTCAGCCCCTCATTGCTGTGAATTATGATGCCACTAAAGTGTGCCAACCTTTGGTAGTCAACTGGGTTGTTTTTGGTAATTGGTAGTTTTGTTGGGATTGCTTTTGATACTGTTTGTTTACTGGTTGAAATATCCATGCCAGCTTGGATAGTTTGATCCAAGCATGGGACAAACGGTTGACAAATAGGAGTAAAATAATTAAGATAAAATAATAATAATTTGAAAGAAAAAAAATGATATAATTAAATATTAGAATGCTATACATCGTAAACCACTATGTAAGTAATATTTTTAAATTTTTTTTTTTTACATCAATTGCATTTAAAATGATAAATAATATATATAGCATATTATGTACAATAAATTATTTTTAATTACTGAATTATATTTCATAATCTTTAATTTGGTAAGTGAGCATATATCCCACCATCTCTAACCATCTCTAATTTAATAATTAAAAATAAAATATCCATTTGTTATTGGTATTACATGAACAATCATGAAGAAAAAGAAGATACGGAAGTTATGATGGGGAGGTTGGATGTTAGGATCTCATTTTTGTGTGGGAATTCCATTGGTGAATGGTGTAGCAATCTAGCAAGTACTGTTTGATACAGTGAAGGAACAACATATATGTATGGGCTGTGCCACATTAATTACCTTTCTTGGCAACTCTTATCACTTGCTATGGATCAAATTGGCAGAGAACAATCCTTCAGTAGAATAGAATACAACTAACTTCCTACCAGTCATCAACCTCTAACTCATACCTCATTATATAAGATAATTTGATTATCAAGCATTGTTCAAGTGTTTCCATCCCCTGATTTTAAGGAATATTATTCATGATGCTGACAGACAGACAAAAAAAAAAAAAGAAAAAAAAAAAAAGAAAAGACAAAGTACTTCTGGGTTAACAATATAAATAAATAATTCGATGATAAATAAATTTCGAGAGCCAACTACAAATGATATTTTTATTTAGAAGTCTCAGAACCACGATCTTACATTTTAATATAAATTTATAATAGACTTGTGTAAAAAATAGATTTGTTTCAGCACAGAACAATGAAAAACAAAAAAATTAAAAACAAAAGAAACTATAGATCGGACCAAAAGGACACTCAAGAAATTACTTTCGTAGTCACTTTCCTAACACAGTTGGCACTATCCAAATTGAAGGTGGCATATGGTTATGTGAATGATCAAGGTTGTAATGCGTCCCAAAGCTTCCATTCTCTATGTTGAAGATACCAATGTCGCGGCGCCCCAATAGGGGATAGAATAGAATGTCAATATTATCATCGGTGTAGTATATGGAATTCGGTTGGCATCTGGACCATTTGGGAGCTGAAACACAAATTGAATGGTTATCTCCCAAAAACAGAGTGTCTCCACCCAAGTTCTTCAGGCTCTTCCCTCTAAGCTGCATAGGTGAACCCTGCTCAAATTGCTCTAAGAGCAACTTGAAAACCTCAAACCCTGATGTTGCATGTTGTGAATCATCTCCAACTTTGTAAGACCTTTGTACAAAAAGTAAATCCCCACTAGATGATTCGACAAGATATGTCGGATCACCATACACATTAGTCCGGAGTTCAATTACCTCCACTTGTGGAGCCTTACTCTCCTCCGCCCTTTTATTAAGGTCAATCATTATGACTCTATAACTATTATCAACTGCAAAAATCTGGCCTTTATAATATGTGACATCATAGAGGGGCTTAAATCTCTTTTTATCTATGTAAGTCCAAGCTTTATCTCCTGCCCGAATAAATGCGAGGTTACAACAATCACCATAGATAGCGACAACAATATAGTCATTAGGCGACGAAGCAGGGTCGGCTTACAATATAGCCTTTGTAACTTCAAACTCAACCTCAAGAGGCCTAACATTAATGTGATTAGGATGAGGTTCCACTTCTGAGAGGTTCATAATTGGAGGAAGCTCAATGATAGCGCTAGAGAACGGATTCGTTAGAGTTACGCCTAAGGATTCTTCCACAGTAAACAACCAACCATATGAGGAACCACAAAACCTCTTTTTGTAGGTACCCGTAACTGAAAATCATATAGCTTATTATCAGTGATGCTATATAGACTACGTCTTTCGTCACTATTATCTTCCGTAGGCACCATTAAAAATGGAACTTGTCTAGACAACTTATTTTGAACGAATTTAAGTTTGTTCTCCATTGCCACAGACTACCATGGTTTGCAAAACGCTTTTTATTAGAAAAAGTATTTGAATGACATAAAATAGTAGGCTTTTCTCTTATTTTGTTTAGTTGAATAAAAAAATAAATTTTTTTTTTTTTTTTTGAGGGGAAAGAGTTTTGCACAATTTAACTATGCTATATATATGCAAAAGAAATAAAATGTAGTTGCATTCATAATTATGTCACGTAAGCAGAACGTACCTTGAATCCACAAGGAAGAAAAAAAAAAAAGAAGTCAGCAGAGAAATCTGATAATATATTAATAATTGAATGAATGATCTTAACTGTAGTACATGTAATTATAATAAAGGAAATTCTAAAACAGGAAGGAAACTAGCAGCGTAAGGAAACTGCTCAAAAATAAACTTGCTCAGAGTATTCTGTAAAATAAGGAAAGAAACCTAATTATTAAAATAAGAAAAGAAACTAAATTACTAAAAATTTTAGTGGTTTAGAAGTTAAATAAAAAATAATTTTAAATTAAGACTTATTACCTTATTGGTCTTAATGAAAAGTCTGAACCATGAACGCCCATGGGATTAGTCCAAATAATGGGCTTCAGTAAGCTGAATGGAGGGCCCAAAGGCATAGTCCCGACTCCAGAGCTTTGATAGGACTTTGAATATGGGCTAACATTGGACTTCGTAGATAACATTGCTAAGAAGGTATTAAGTAAATCAGGTGTACCGTGCCTCGATTTCATTGAATCTAGGTCAAAGAAATCCTTCCAATCGGAGCTTTGACAAGGAACTATTAGTTTCACAGTTCTATACTGTTGTCAATACCATAAGACACGGGTATATCTAGGGGGTGGACTGGAGCCCATCCCAAAATAATTTATTATTAGTATTAACCTACTAAAAAAAATATTAACCTATCACATTGACAATTCCTAAATCCGCCCTCGCCGTTATTGACATGGCATCGAACTATGTAAACAGTAGCAATAACATAAACATTCTTCAACCAAATGGACAATTTGGAACTCGTTACCTAGTAAGGATAACAAACAACTTCCAGCTCCCCAAATTGATACGAAAAGTTATTATTTTTGCTTTTACTTTCATTTCCTAGATTAATTGATTCTTTAACAGAGAGGCAAAGATCATGGTAAAGCCTGGCATATATCCCTGTTTTATTTGAATGATATTTGGTCTGGTTTGGTGGAAAATAAAAATAAGGGAACAAAGGAAAACAGAAAATTTCTAGGTCTCAAGATGTCTGTTGTCTGTCATTTTTAGCTTTCAAAATTCTTAAACTTCACTGTACAATATTACTTTGGGATGTGAAACAATGAAAGCAGGTCTCCTTTGTAGAAGTTACTCAAAACACATTGTATCACAAAACAATTTCATAGGCACAATGTTCACACTCATATACCATGAATCACAACAAAATCATGTATAAGAAAAGACATGTCTCAAGTCTCGAGAGGCATTGACATCCATTTTAAGATCTGAAAATCAATTTAGTAATTAAGAAATTCGATTTAGTTGATCCTCATCAAGCTAAATTGAAATGAAATTATCACAGTAGCTTACTTTTTCAGAGTAGATGGTTGCTAACATGGTAATTAGCTTGAATCCACAAGAAAGAAAAAAAAGAAGTTGCAGAGAAATCTGATAATATATTAATAATGGAATGAATGATCTACTTTGCAGTATACGTATTTATAATAAAGGAAATTCTAAAACCTTAAGGAAATTAGCAGTGCAACGAAACTGCTCAAAAATAAACATATTCTGTAAAATAAGAAAATAAATCTAATTATTAAAATAAGGAAAGAAACCTAATTACTAAAAAATTTAGTAGTTTAGAAGTTAAATAAAAATTAATTTTAAATTAGGACTTATTGCCTTATGGTCTTAATGAAAAGTCTGGAACCTTGAACGCCCATGGGATTAGTCCAAATAATGGGCTTCAGTAAGCTGAATGGAGGGCCCAAAGCTATAGTCCTGACTCTTGAGCCTGATAGGAGGGCCCAAAGGCATAGTCCTGACTCCTGATAGGACTTTCAATATGGGCTAACATTGGACTTCGTAGACAACATTGATAAGAAGGTATTGAGTGAGCTCGGCACACTGTGTCCCGATTTCATTCTATTAATAGTATATTTAAGACGGTATTGTGTATCTTGTATATATATAACTTTGCTTTATCTTAAATTCATTACAGTTCTCATTGTTTTTGCATACTCGTACTTACCTTGATCAGAAGTAGACACTTAAAAAATATAGCGACTTTGTCAACAAAGAGTTTATACTGTTTTCAATAAAAGAACTTCGATGGTCAATTCCTTCAATGGTTGAGGTCCTGAAACTAGGTCAAAGAAAGATCTTTTTCTGTTCTTCCAAGCGGGGCTTTGACAAGGAACTATTAGTTTCACCATTCTACTTATTATGACAATTATGATTACATTGATTAAGAGAATGAGCATACTACACTCAACACCTTATTTTCTGTAATTTTTCAATTGTCCGATTATGTAGGGGCATCCCCTTTATAAGTGTTCAATTATCCTAGTATGTAAGGGCATCCAAGGGTGGCAAATAGACAATTTTAGCCTTGGGATATGCCACCATTTTCACACTTGTTTTTATTTATTTATTTTTTTATTTTTATCTCTTCCGGAAAGTAAAGTATTTGTATATACGTTGAATGTACAGATGGGCCGAAGCCCCAAAATAAAGCCCAAGAGACACCTTTGAGCACCAAACCAGCCCATACCCAAAGGTAAAGCAAAAAACAAAAACTTGCCCTAATCGTTGAGTAAATATGCCAACCACAATCCGGTGAGTGAAGATGGGACTAAACTTGCCCTAACATTGTTCAATGTTCTTAGAAATACATCTTTGGTGCAATGAATGTATAATAAAGATAATGTTCTTATTTAGATTTTTTCATTGTACATAGTTAAAAATGTCATTTTACAGGCAATTAACAATCTAACTTTTAATAATTTAGGGGATTAGCTGCTTCAATAGGTAGCTAATCATGCAAAAGAACACTTTTTCAGCTTACACGTTGCCACTAAGCATATTTGGACTCTTGTTTTTGGCTCAATGGATGAGGACTTAATTGGTTTGGGATAGATGTTTTTTGGACTATGAGCATTCCATAAGCTTGCTCTTCCGGGTAAATGAATAATAAAACTAGAATTTACAACACACAGCCTCAGTACTAAGAAAACATGTCAATTCATTCATATATATGGATGTGCGCACACACACACACACACACATACACACACACATATATATAGAACACTTATTAGCTGGCCAGCATTTACCTTTGATGCTGCAGACAAAGACTCATTCTACCCATTTATCCTCTAATAGCTTAAAGCAATTACTGGATATGACCGACTACAGTGATCCAATATGACACAGTAAATTACTGAATATGACCGACTACAGTGATCCTTTACATGGTGAGGACTCTTATTTCCAACCATAAAGATAACCTAGGACTATTTATTTGTTTGGTTGTTTTGAAATAAAATGGAAATATGTCCTAGATCATGTTTATGATTTTTGTTTGAATCCTTTTCATTTGAAGAGTTAAAAGAGAAACATTAAGCATGGTTTTTGTATGAACTCTTTGCATTTGAAGAATTTTTTTTTTTTTTTTTTTTTTTAAAGTTAAATTCAATTAATAAGAAACGGAATAGTATAAGACTAGCAATAGCTAACCAATGGACCACGGAGGCCCGGAGATACAACATACAACGGCCCACAATACAAGGATCAGGAATGGAGCCCAAAATGAGGAACCCCACAATTCTAATGAAGACGAGAAATGCATTTTGGGAAGGGATAATTGGCTGCAAGAAGGGAACTAGATATCAGTTTATGGCATTAACCGCGTTGACCGACGTTGACTTTTTCGGCCGAGGATGCATTTTGCCTACTTTTGAGGTAAGGGTCTTCTAATGTTTCGATATTTGTCTCTTAATTGAGTAATTCTATCTCTACTGTAAGTATATTTTGAAGATTTCTAAATTTTGAAATGAAATTGTTGCCTTGTGTATGTTAATAATGTGTTAAGTGCCTCAAACATAAATTGCTTTCAATTATGTGTTAAAAGCATGCTTAACTTTGTTTTATGGAAGTTGTGTTAATGTATAGTTGATAACATGATGTTGGCATGTATGTGACCCTTTACTGAGCATGTTTATGGCTAATTCTTGTGAATGCCTTATTTGAAATATTAATGTGAAAGATGTTCGTGTTATAGTGGAATTATGAAGTATGCCATGTTTATATATTAATGTTGTTTCATGAATGAAGGTGTTGCATTGCATGTCATGGCAAGAAAAAGGGGTTTTGAAAAGGTTTCTGAAAAGGGGAGTTTTATAAAAAGGAAAAGTTTTATTCGAAAGGTGAAGTTTTCCTAAATTAAACCGAATTTCGCAAGTTCGGGGCTAGCTTGACCTAGA